GGTAGAGTGCTCTTAGTCAGGTTAACGGAAGTATTAACTAGTATATGGAAATCAAACACGATCCCCTCTGACTGGTCGAAATCACTGATTATCCCAATCTCCAAGAAAGGCGAGAAGTCGTCTTGTGATAACTACAGAGGAATCAGCCTAACGAATATGGCGTCCAAGATTCTAGGTACTACAATCATCAGACACCTGAGTGAAGCTCAGGAACAGCAAGCTCAAGAAAACCAGGCAGGATTTAGACCTGGGCGCGGGTGTATTGACCGAATATTCACACTGAACCAGGTTTCGGAACACAGACACGCTTACCGATGCCCGATAATAGCTGTATTTCTCGACCTGAAGGCGGTGGCATTCGACTCCGTTGATCAAGAGGTCTTATGGCGATGTGTCTCACTGAAAGGGGTGCCGAGTAAATACATCACCTTATTGAAAGCTCTCTTCTCTAACACTTGTGGGCATGTTAGAACCTATGTTGAGATGTCCGGGAAGCTATGCTCGTCGAGTGGTGTCCGTCAAGGCTGCCCACTCTCTCCATTCTTATTCAATTTTATCATCGATATTCTTTCTTATAGAGGTCTCCCTCTCGTCACCTGACTACACAGAGGTCAACATAATCGCGGGAGGATTTTCGTTAGACCTAGAATATGCAGATAACATAGTCCTGCTAGGTGAAGACACTGATAAGATACAGAATCTTCTGAACACTTTGAGCGGCAATCCGAGAATGTCTGGGATGCATTTCTCACCACCCAAGTGCAAATTGTTGCTCCAGGATTGGTCTTCAACGGTGCCATGGCTAACAATAGATAGTGTAGTGATTGAGTGTGTTGACGTGTGGCAACTCGGACCGTCACACAGTAATGCCTGGTCCTATGTTGATAATGATGATGATGAGTGTGTTGACTACTTCACTTACCTGGGAAGTAGGATCAAACCCCGGTGGTTCAGTTGCCGATAAAACCTCTGCACGGAGACAAAAGCTGGATTGGCTTTTGCCAATTTACGCTACCTACGGCGCCGCCGTGATGTCCGATTGTCTATTAAGGGTCGAGTGTACTGCACAGCAGTCGGTCTATTCTGTTCTATGGTTGTGGAACATGGCCATTGAAAGTAGAACATATGGGAAGGCTTCAGGTGTTTGACCTCCGTTGCTTTCGTAGTATAGTATAGGCTGTATTCCGTGGTGTCACCACACGAGTAAGGCAGAAGTCAGGCTCAGATGTATAGTTTTGGAGAGAAGAGGTAAATCAGTAGACGAGGTTTTTAACCTTCATCGACTGAGATGGTTGGGACACGTGTTACGTATGCCTAGTCGCTGATTGCCTCGTCACACAATGTTGGCCGAAGTAGGTCCAGTCTGGAAAAAGGCTCGAGGTGGCCACACTAAAACATGACATCACTGTATGAAGTGTTTGAGCCATGTGGGGCGATGCAGACTCGGTGGTTGGGGTCCGCGGGACAACAGGAAACAGTGGTTGGAGACTGTAGGTGATATGGCTTAGAACCAGTGTCAGTGGCGCAGATGTATACACACATTATCTCCATCTTAACCGCTATACTTAATCTCATCTTCTCATTCTCCCTTCCTCTCGTCCATTACTTTCCTACTTCTACTTCCTTTGACCAACTTTCTTTTCCATCTTATTGCCTTGTTACTTGACGTGCTGATATGAAGTGTGGCAACTTGGACCGTTACTCAATAGTCCCTGGTACTACGCTGATTTAGATAATGGTTACCCAAGTCACTCAGCGATCAATCAACATATTGGCATTGACTCAATTTGTCAACCATTGCAAAATAAGAATTAGGTTAAAATTCCTGTCATCAGGACAGCCAATTGAAATACACATGAAGAAAATGACATGACCTCAAGAGAAACAACCTATCACAGCTAATGCCCTCAACGGAAGTTACTCCTCCACTTGTCGAGGAAATCTCATATCTCACTTCCCTCTTATGTTTTGTCTGGTATGGTAGTGAAGGCTTCACGATTAGACCAATAAGACTTGTGGATTCGGTGGTGTATGTAACTGTCTGTGAGTGATATCATGTGCTGCAAAGCTATTCGCTTTCTCTGGTGGTGTGTGCACCAAAGAAATGGCTATTAAAAATGGAAGTCGTAATTTTCCAGGGTGCCTAATAATCTTAAGAACTTTCAAGGTGACTGTGAAAAGTGTTACGCGTGTTGAAAACCATGTACATTGCAATACGTTTTAGTAATTGAAGAAGCAATAAGAAGTATAAAAATAAGAGCTAGTTAGGGTAAAGGGTAAAATCATTCAGTGAATTCTGGAACTGGTGGCCTAAGTTAGATTATATGGCTCAGAACCAATGTCAGTGGCGCAGACGTATACATAAATCATCCTCATCTTAACGTTATATCGAATTTTATCATTCTTCCTTTCTCTCTTTTCGTACTTTATATTCCTTTTGACTGAATTTCCTCTCCTTCATCTTGAGCCTCACTGCCTTTTTACTTGATGTACTGATATGAGCTGTGGCAACTCGGACCGTTATGCGTGGTCCTATGTTGAGTTGGATGGATGAATGCCAGATCCAACGCTGATGTTGATGTCCGTGCATGCCTGTATTATTTCGAATAGAGAGATCTAATTAGCACAGTATAATTGCTCGGTACTCCTCCCACCCATTTCCAGTCCTGAAACCTGCTTTGTTTCTCCAGTTTGTCCTCGAACCCCACCAAGACGTCGTATAACTATAGACCCTAAGATCATAAACACGATGTCAGCGAAATTGGTCCACTTATGTTTGTCGGAAAAAGACCTTTCTTTCTTTTTATAGACAGGAATAACTAACGTATGATGGGGCTGTGGTTGATTCACAATCTCTAGCTAGTGTCTTGGTACTCTATTCAGTGACTTTCTTCTTATATTCTTAAAAACCTCTGGAGGAAAACCGATAGGTCCTCCTGCTACTTTGCACCGTTTGTTTAGTATCATTGCCTAAATAATTTCCAGGTATTCCAGTCGAATCGAAAAAATCAAAATGCCCCCAGCATTCGTGCAGTAGGTAGTGAGTTACACCCATTATGTGGGGGCTATTGTTACTATCTAGCTATCCAAACGTCGGTAGGCGGAGCGAGACCTGACCCAAGGCCAACTGGTTGAAAGTCATCTTAAATCAATGAGCCAGGCACTACCTAGTGCTGATAAGATGTCCATCTCTCCGTCTCACTACCCACCAACGCCTGCAATCATTGTGAAGGCTGTCAGTCAATTTGCTTTTGAGCTGCTTTTGCTGTGCATTGTGATCAGAATCAGCTAGAATGTCTTCCCGCATCAGTTTAGATGGCGTTGTAGAAACCCAAAGGCTTTTGCTAACCTTCAGGTGTATGTTACTGTCTACCGCTGTTTTTACAGTAGACTGAATATCATGCCAGGCGTCCCTAAGATGAAGATTGCTTTTGCAAACATGCTCACTTATCTCCTCCATGAGTACGTACTTCATGTCCTTATCTCCCGATTGAGCATAGAGCCATAATCGCTTAATCTAGTGTACCCATTGAGGCGGAAACATACGTGTCGTAACAATGTGTTGTCGAAGTCCAAGCAAGTACTCCAAAAAATGCGACAACCTCTCACTGATACTCCCTAAGGATAGCTGATAGCAATACGATTTGTGTTCACCGTCAGTTTAATGTCAACGTGAGATAGCGTCTCTACTTTTGTTTAAGATAGTGCATGCGAGGTGAAAAAATGATAGAGAAAACAACTGTAAGAGATTATGGCCTTCGTTAGTAAGCGACACCATAGTTACCCCCAAGATCCATTGCAGATTGACTCAGCTTTGTTAAGGGAGCGTCGAAGTAGCCTGCTTATTATGGCTATAACTGAACGCTTCGCTTCTATGTACCAAAATTGATAGCTATTGATAGAATTCACGCTTTGTATTATTTAAACTGCAGCCACTGGGTACGTGGGCAGAGACTGTGAATAGACATCGAATGTCAAGAACCTATCCAGTTCTTGTAAATCCATTCAGTCAGCGCACTGACACCTGCTGGTTGGCATACAACAAAGCAGTGCGCTTTCTGATCTACAATGTAACGCTATACTTAGAACAGCGTTAGCAGGGGTGCTAGCTATTGAAGTTCTGAACATGCGCAGAGCGAATATATCATTCACCATATTATTAAATAAGGTCAATCTACTTGGACTCTGTCAATGATTTAAACCATCGTCCCAGAAAGCCTCAGTAACACAGGCGCTCACCTACTTAAGAAGTTCAATAACCATATAGATGTTCTATGAACGAAAATTTCAGCAAACAGCAACGCTAGTCTAATTATGCTTCACATCTGTATTCAATAATTTAAACTAAGCATGTTTTTGGCGTATTATTCGGGTGCCTGACAAAACTGACTGGCTGAATCTGTTCACAGCAGAGACTAACCCACCGCTTTTTCATAACTCCGAACATCCTATTAACCGAATTACTTGTTCTATTCCCTCATATTTTCTATCAACTTTATATCTTCATTTGTTGCTTCATAAGCTGTTACGATTACACTGGAGAAAATGCACTCTAAGCACGATTCTGTGCTCTGTGGGGCAAGTCAGTGACAGATTTAACAGTAAATAACTCAGAGGATGGAAGGCAATGGTCCCGGCAATGTTTAGAAACAGCGGAAGTAGTACTTCCTAAAGAACTGTTCTCCTTGGAAGTCATCAAAAGCTGAAGTGGAATCAACCCACGGCTGAGTACTGAATATTATTTAGTAATCAACGACCAGGAATCATCACCACAAGCGGTAGCCGATCGCATAGTGACTACATTTACAGAAAATCAGGATCTTCACTGGGATAGTTACTGCAAGGTTTAACACTGACCACTTGATGAACTACACTTATCACCGACGCAGTTACACTCCATACTAAACCAAGTGGCCCTGAAACAGGCTGAATTCAAGAAAAGTCATGAATACTTACATTTGACTGCTAAGTACAACTATATGTGCTAGACCATTACTTACCTTCATCAAAGAATCAACATCAGGTTTGTTCGGGACATATTCATGTGCTATGTATCGTTTCTGTTCATATTTTGCTCGAATAAAGGTCTCAAGTGCTGAATCTGTCTGTGGTCTCCTAAAATTTTCAGGCAAATTTGCTTCATATACAGCTCGCGCTTTGCTATTACCCATATCTCTCATAACCTGCAATTCAGGATTTATACGAAATGACTTATTACCGCCAGTTGCATAGGAGTCCATGTATCAAGGTTCACAGACTTGACTTTTGATATGTGAACACCCAAATTGCGATGAATCCCCGCACATCTTATGCACAGAAATATACCTATGTTCCATGATGCCAACGCGGTCCTAACCCTGAGTTCAAGTAATAGGTGTCTAACCTTTAGCATCACAATCTGCACAGTACTTGTTGTCATCATCACGTAGTAACTCCTGTATTATAAGCTGATGTCTTTCATTTTGTAACTTCGTGTTATCCCGCCTACTTGTCATCATATGATTAAAAATACCGCACCCTAGCTGCCCTTCAGGAACATTCAACGTATCATTCTACAACCCCGATTCCTACCTCGTGTTTTATAGTTAGTGACTTACTTTAACTTGAGAAACAAGAATCAGTCTCTTAGAAACTTATTTGTATCCGGGAATAAAGACTTATTTCTTTGTCCGAAATATGTTTCGGGAGCAACTGTTTTTTTTTGAATATTCAAATAGTTGAGAGCAAAATCTTAAGACCTTCTGCCTGACTGACTGCCACATCGCCTAATTATTTGTCACTTCATCTTATGTTCTTGAATCTTGGTGCACGAAAGGAATTAGAAGTAGGATAACGGTGACAGGCTGTAAGTTTTCATAGATAATGAGTCAGCTTAGGGTTACGGTTAGAAGACAGTCATGAAGCAACTCAAATCACACTTTTAGTGGTAAAGCGATATTTTTCTGCTCCTTTCATAACTCGCAGACACTTCTGATATTACAAGAAGCTTTTTGTCCTCTCTTCTGTGACGTTCAGGATAGCTCAAGTGTTGCAGATTTCTCTGCCGTTATCAATTTTATGATGTCTGTAAGCTGACCTCTCTCATGTTAAATCCCTAAGTTGAGGACATAAATTTTAATTATTCATTTATTTATGTATTTGACGAGATGGAGGGTGACGTGGCACCATAGAGGTTCCTTCAGCTGGATTAGAACCGTGTCGCTGACCACTCCCGCCTATAAACGACAGCTGTCTCAGGGAGCCACCCCCTTTCCACCCAGAGTTCTCCATCCCTGTGGAAAAGTTTCGCGCTGGAGACGGGCATCTCTCCGTCGAAAATGACCGGTAGGATCCAGGATTCCATGAAAAATACGGTGTTGGAGCGAAGGGATTGAAGGAGCGTCCTCATCTCTACTTTCCATCTTAGTCCCCAAACAGTGCTGCACACACACGTTAGGGTGTATCTGGTGAGACGAAGAGACTGGCTGCATGTGTGCGTGAGGGAAGCACTTATGTGGTTGGCTCCGGGATCGCCAGTTTCCACAGGAATTGCATGCTCCTTTTTGGCTCTTTGCTTCCAGCTTGCGGGGAGACTGCAGTGGCAGACGCTTCAAGATTTGGTGCGCCTTCCTCACTGACTTGTGCCTGTGTGGTAACCACTAACTGCAGAGGTCTTGGCAGCTGCCGTCTCCCTTCTTGCCTGGTGGGTGCTGGCTTGCCTTCATACATCCGTATCTGGCTGCCCACATGGTCTTTCACGTTATACCATCAGTGTGGAATATCTCTTGGGATACGTGCGGGTCATATTGAATGAGGAGTGGTCTGGGAGTGGGGAATGACCCCAGGTGCGTCGGTCTCGGTAGTCTGCTGGCTCCGTTATACGGCATGTTATCCAGGCCAGCTCTATTTGGAAGCCACTGCTATTGTTAGAACTCATGAAGGCACCGATCTTTAGAACGGCGGTCCCTTGGCAGTTCTGGGGTCCCATGTTTCTGCTTGGATTGCCAACCGCCGACTTTCTCTCCCCCTCATTCGGTAGCTATGATTTGTAATGCCTGGCCCAAATTTTACAGGTGCTGACAGTACCCAGTTTGTGCGAGAGAAGGGTATCTTCGGCTTCTTTGTTGGGGCTCCTTGATGCACATAAGGGTGGAGGCTTCTTTCAGTTTGTCTGCCTTCCGCGAGGAAGGCAAAACAGCGCTGCCGAGGGAGAAGTGAATCCCAGTAACTGACAGCAGTTGACCCACTTTCTGCTGTCAGATTATTCCTCTTGACCGACAGTAAGTCTGTCAAGTCATCGACGCTGAACAAGATGATCGAGTTGGTCCTCCTGTGGCTTCCGTTCTTCTTGGGTGACACGCACGCTTCCTAGTGAGTTTGTTATGAATTTCTGCCAGTTTTTCAGTTATATCGTCTAGGACTTTTAGTCTGGGTTTCGTCAACAGCCTAGAGGGTGGTATCTTTTTCCATGCGCTTGACGTTCTCTGTGACCGTGTAGGGGATACAGAAGTACTGCCAAATATGGTCTTCATGTGCGGTGGTGTGTGCGTAGCTACGGAACTAGCTTTGTTTTCTGGTCCCTTTGTGTTATCCCTTAATGTTGACCCTACTTTGGTCGAGGATCTAGATGGCCTTTGTGTAGCGCGGAGAATCTATTTAAGGCCCTTCTTATGGGGTGCGGGAAGCTTTCCGAATAATGGATGCATCTACCAGAATGTTGTTGCTTGGTTCTCGCCTTGTGAACGCTTAGTACTACAGGGACACTTTTCTGTCACGGTGGCCATGTACTTATCACTGGCATAGTTGCATGTGAATGTCTCGCTGATCACCGATAGGTCTTTAGTGCAAATACTGCCGCTGTCACGCGTCATGGCGCAGACTGCTTCCGTTGCAGGTGATGTCATAATTTGTAGTGAACTACTCGTGGCCGCCTCATTTCTGCCCCTGCCACACCATTCCCTCTTTTTGGGGATACCGTGACCCCCACCAGGAGTAGGACTACTTTGTGGCATTTTTGGGCTACCCTATGTCGCCTGTGTGGTAACTGTTGGTATCCCAGAGACAAGGGTTGACCACCTCTCCGGGAGACAGGTGTTCTGCCCCACCTCTATTTTAATGTGGATACAGAAAAGCGTGTTGTCCTGGTGGTCACTGTCCTTCCCGCTGAAGGATCGCATGATCTGCGTCGGCGCTTCAAACCAACCGCTTTGGAACGACAGGACACCATTAGATATCCTAGGATAATGAGTGTTTAACAGTGGTGGAGAGATCAAGAGCTGAATGTGGTAGAAGGACGGAATGTAAAAAAGAAAACAACTGATGTTGGCTTACCTGCAGACACATGCCACTTGTTCCTCTACAACTGGCCAGCGAGTTTGACCGTGAACCCAAGATGTGTATGTGGAACCGTGAAAGATGTTTCATAGGAATGATCTTCGAAGAGAACCGGAAGCTAAGACATTTGGGCAGTCTTAGCAGCCAAGAACCACTGACGGGAGGTAGAATAGTGGGCTAGAAGAATTAATAGTTCTGGTTTTCTTCTGTTGAGATGTTGACGAATATGCAAGTCAAGTATGTGAAACTACAGGAGTGTTGCAAAGTTTGGTTTTGATAGATGGAATATTCCAAATGTGGAGAGATCCTGGAAGAGAGACACCACCAGCTCACCTCACTATTCAGGATTGAAATGACCGTTCATTTTGATTTACCTACTTGATATAGCTCCCGGTGGTAAGTGATTGTCCACTTACTGAAGTTTCATCATTGTTTGAGGGTAATTATGTGATCATGAGCGACAATTTATGCTCGAAATATCTCCGGGTAAAGGGCGTGCCACTGTGTGCTGTATTGGACAAGCCAATGTGATATGGAAAGGCAGTCTGCTGCAGTCCTCAAGCCGTACATCTGCAATGTCTATCTGTTATTAAAATGGTCATTCATAAATTTTGATTTAACGTTTGTTCTTCATAAAAGGCGTGTGCTAGGTACGTTAGAATTCTATATTTAAACATAGCGCCATACAGTCCAGTGCAAATGATTTTGTTCTCTTTTCTGAGAAGGAAGGACACGGCAGTGAATATGGAGGACGCACGGTGTCCGGTGTGGCAACTGCATCCATTTTCATGCTCTAATTCACAGGTCCACTAAGTGCAGCGTCATACATTCTTGTCAGAAGCAGTTATAGAATCGCTATTAAACATGAACTCTTTTTCTTGGCATATCAGGAATGACAGAATGAGGACGGCGAGGAAGTATTGGTGGTATGTGGCTGAATTGTGCTAAGGGGCCTGAGCTTACCTCTGTGCCACCCTAAGCGACACATGTTTATGAAACCATCAAGATGTGAGACGAAAACCAAAGAACAAGAGAGGAACTCGGTGCGGAATGTGTAACATGCAGTTTACTTTCTAGAGTAGCACCATCAATATTACGACATTCATGCGACTGTGGCAGCTCAGCGTGATCTTATTCGTATCTGAGACTAAATAGAACAGTCCGACAACAGGAATGGTCTAACCTGAGATGATTTGAGGAAGCCCACTCATTGACTTCAAGTGCCGGACAGCTCGTATGAGAACACACAAAAAGAGAAGCATCTAGCACGGGAACTGTCATGTCATCAGCATACCAACTAAACCCGGTTGTTTTAGGGGCGGAGTCTCCAAGATGACAGAACTCCGAGTAGAACCTTGAGATACAGGGCCCAGCAGGTTATAAATTAGATCATTTCCTCGTACAAGCTATCATGATCGAAACGACCACCTTCATTCGGACAGTTTGCTCTATGCAGTATGCAAGCACTAGTATCTTACCCCCTAACAACGACACTCTCCGTATGGTAGTGTATGCAAAATAGTCGCAGCACATCAGCAGTGTTCGTGATATTAGCAGTGTGCAACCAATATCATGAAAGACCAGCTGAGGTTCGGCCATGGTCAGATCCGAAATGCAGGATGAATAGGAGAGCTTGGGTAAGTGTGCTGGTGGTGATTCACTCAGCCGGCAATGAAGTACGCTATTTGGGCAGGCTGTTTCATAAAGAGCGACAGAAGTGCTGTCGTATGCTTTGAGGCCCACTGTCATCTATTATGACTGTCTTTCCCTACTTTCCCGTTAACTTAATGACAGTAATAATATTTATTCCCGAATACAAAGGCAAACCATTTTTACAGATTTGAATAAGTTTCCGTTTAAATTACATGTACCTTTATTATTCACTATTATTTGTCCCTCGGGTTCCTAATGGAACGT